TATTAAGCATTAAACTGTTGATCTCATTCTCAAAAACAACTCAAGCCTGAAGTCACATGTGCTGTTCAGAAAACTCTTATCTTGATTTATATGACTTAATTAGAGTGGACAATGAAATGAAATATGAAGATGAATTACAAAATATAATGATAACTTTTGGGGTGGGCGGCAAAACAGTTTTTTTTACAGTGGGTACTGAAAGTTTTCAGACTCCGTTAAAATGATCACTCTTTGTTATCCGCTTGTTAAGTGTGACGTCACGCAAAGCGGCTTCCGGGTCCAAGCGCTCTATACAACTGAATGGGGAGACTCATGAAATGGTAATAATAAACGTTTACAAAGCGATTTAATACTTTCGAAAATCACGATCGCAGTTTATATGTCCATGCCTAATATCCGATGGCCAGAAAGTGAATAATTTTTTTATAAAATTGTTACATTTTTGGTATTTGTTATGCAGCAAGCCCAGAGATTGTTGTGTACACTATGATTTTATATAAAATTTACTTTAATGTGTGATAGGAATAAAACGTGATCATAAACGAATGATTTCTCCCCTCAAATGAGTGGCGGCTTGGACCTGGAAACAGTATTACATACGTCACCAACACGTCACCACTTAACAAGCGGATACTGCAGTCATTTGTTAAAATCATTTAAGTTCATATTTTCCTTAATGTACAGACAGCACCCCATATTGACACAAAAACACAGAATTGTTAATAAAGAAAAACTGAAATATCCCATGATCCCAAGCATTCAGACCCTGTTTTTGGGAAAGTTTTTCACACCTATATTTTGGGATCCTCTGCTATTCCTCCTTGCAGATCCTCTTCAGTTCTGTCAGGTTGGATGGTAAACGGTGGTGGACAGTCATTTTTAGCTCCCTCCAAAGATGCTCTTAAAGGGGGTTTAAGTCAGGACTCTGGCTGGGTCATTTAAGAACAGCCACAGAGTTGTTGTAAAGCCACTCCTTCATTGTTTTAGCTGTGTGCTTAGGGTCATTGTCTTGTTGGAAGGTAAACCTTCGGCCCAGTCTGAGGTTCTGAGCACTCTGGAGAAGGTTTTCGTCCTGGCCCTGAAGCTGAAATGCACCACCACAGCATGATGCTGCCACCATTATGCTTCACTGTTGGGACTGTATTGGACAGGTGATGAGCAGTGCCTGGTTTTCTCCACACATACCACTTAGAATTAAGAATTAAGTTTTATCTTGGTCTTATCAGAGAAGAGAATTTAATTTCTCACCATCTTGGAGTCCTTCAGGTGTTTTTAAGCAAACTTCATGTGGGCTTTCATGTGTCAGGCCACTCTGCCAGATTTGTGCCTTGCCACAATTCTGTCTCTGAGCTCTGCAGACAGTTCCTTTGACCTCATGATTCTCATTTGCTCTGACATGCATTGTGAGCTGTAAGGTCTCATATAGACAGGTGTGTGGTTTCCTTATAAAGTCCAATCAATACACTGTAAAAAATGGCTGTGAATTCAACAGTAAAAAACTGTAAAAATGCTACAGTACAAATCAATAACCTGGTTAACGGTATGTTTCCTTAATATATACGGTGAATAACCGTAAATTGACTTTCCCAGAATTCCCTGCATGGCACATAACTTTTTATGCATTTGGTTGACATTAATATGGATCTTTTTAGTTGTTTCCCCATCAGTTATGTACATTAGAGATTTATATTACATCTAATGTTGATAGACAATGTTTATTTCATGACTATAATTTTATGCGTGTTACCATACTGGTGTTTAGTAGCTGTGTAAATGACACTGAGTACCTTCTATATGCCGATACTCTTTTCTGCTTGTGGGAAAAGTTGATTGTGATTAGCATTGGCTCATTATGTAACTTCCTCATCACCACCTGCATGTGGGTATGCTAACATGTCTAACTGTGAAACAAAAGATGTGTAGATGTTGATCATTCAAAATACAGACATATTACCTCTATAAATTAACAAAATACGGTACTTTACCATAAAAATGAGAAATTACTTTTACTGTTTGTACCGTGTTTTTAACGGTAAAGTACTGGCAACCACAGCTGCCGTTTTTTACCGTAAATTTTACGGATTTATTTTTTACAGTGTAAAACCAAACGCAGCTGGACTTAAATGAAGAGAACCATCCCATCTCAACGATGATCAGAAGAAATGGACAGCACCTGAGTTAAATATATGAGTGTCACAGCAAAGAGTCTGAACACTAAGGACCATGTGATATTTTAGTTTTTCTTTTTTAATAAATCTGCAAAAATGTCAACAATTCTGTGTTTTTCTGGCGCTGAGTGTACATTAACGAGGAAAAAATGAACTTAAAGAGCCCATATTATACATGAAATAGGGTCATATCTTGGTTGTAAGGGTCTCCAACAACAGTCTAATATGCATGCAAGGTCAAAAAACACTTTCATGGTCTTATAATCTGCATTTATTTTTACCTAATTATCCCAGCGACTCCTGTATGAATCGTCCAGTGATTCATTTGTTCCCAAACCCCTCCTTAGCGCGAAGCTACTCTGCGCTGATTGGACCGATGACAGTCTGTCGCGATTGGTCGACTGCCTTCAGTCAGAGAGGGAAATGGCCAATAGCTAATCAGCAATATAAAAGTAATCACAGTTCATACACGCTCGATAGTGTAGGCGTGGATTTTAGCTGCCACACTATGGCGAGTGGATAGTGCCACGGATAACCGAACGAAGGAGACAGTTGTGTACTCGCCATACCACACACACACACAAAAACACACACACACCTCCGGATGACAACGCTCCCGCTTCCGCCCGCACCCGCCAGGTTTTAGCCTGAGAACCCGCTCCGTTTTCTGCCCGCCGCGCCCGGTCCCGCTAGAGCGGAGAACACAACCAAAAATCACCCAGTATACAGTCCAGACAGCCAAGCTGTCTGTATAAACACATACACAGCACAAAGCACACAGAGCTCGTTCGTTCGTTCGTTCGCTCTCTCTCTCTCTCTCTCTCTCTCTCATACGCTCTCTCATACCAAGCAGACTCTCTCTTTCTAATTCACATAGCAATATCCGTGATATTGCTAGACAGCCCGCTCCCGTCCCACATTAAACCCGTTACCGACCGCTCCCGCGATTTATTCGGAAATTTATTTTCGGCCAGATTTCTGCGGCGCGGGAATAAATTTCCGAATAAATCGCGGGAGCAGAACTCTAGCACGGAGCTCCATAAACAAACAGCACGCGTCGCGTTTTTAACGTGACTTTGCACGCGATAAGAGAATATAGCCAGTTAACCTGATACAGTACACGCGGTTACAAGTAACAAATCACAACTAAATACATTTGCAAGCTAGAGTAAACGAGGCAACAACTTTAACCGCACGTACTTACACTTGAGAAATGGAAGAAACCCATCCTGACGTCCAGCAGTTACTCTTTACTGATCCTTCCTTTAACAAACTCAGATGAAGTATTCTTTGTAGCATGTAGCTTCCAGAAGTTTCCAACTGCTTGGTTATAATGCTGAGGTTTCATCTTTGGGTAGAGACTCAATATATCCATCTGCAGTGTGACTTCAATCAACCGGCATGTTTGTGTGTGTGTGTGTGTGTGTTTGTGGGTGTGTGTGTGTCTGGGTTTCTGCGTTAGAGGGCGAGGCCTCAGGTTTGAAATCTCCCGGGTTTGCGCGTGCACGTGAATAACTTGGTTTCGTTCGTACGTCATGGCGAAACACCTAATGAGTCGGTATCAAGGCGACTCGTTCGAAGCACTATGAGTCGACTCTTTTATAGATGAATCAACAGTTTTAAACACTGTATTCTTACAGATTTAAGCCTTAGCTGGATACTTCACTTCACTTAGAGCTGTGTTACACACTACATGGAGGGGAATTTTCAAAAACCCATAATATGGGCTCTTTAAATGATTTTAGCAAATGAATTCAGTACAGATACTATAAAATATAGGTATTTGTTGTTGTCATAGCAAGTCAACATACAGCATGTCCATGGTGTTGAATATCAATATAACAGGCTGCTTCTCAACAAAGGTTATTTCTAGACTAGAGTGTGGATGAGATCATGTCATTGCGCAATACATCATCTAAAACAGGAAGATTGACGATCACCGTAACTGTGATCACAATATGTCTACATTGTTTTAGCAATGTGGGGGTTTTAAAGAAGGCTTCCACCATATTTAAAATTGCAGACTTTCAGCATCTGGCCAAAGTTGTTATATTATTTCACTCAAATATAATTTCTTTATACAACAACAAAGTTTGCAGAGGCTCTGCTTTTACACCAGTGTATCTAAATCCTGGTGTCTTGTTAGTTTACTAAAGGGCACCTATTATGCAACAATCACTTTTATGGGGTTTACACACACTTGTGTGGCTACGGTGTGTGAATACAACAAGCCACTAATAGTAAAAATGTAATAAATCTATTTTTTATAGTCACACTTGATAAAAACAGCGTTCAAAAAAACTTTGGTTGACATTCTCTCATTGAAGGTGTTATCAGAGGGGGAAAGCCCCACCTCCTCATTACAATTTTACATTAGTCTTGATTTGAATGCTTTGCAATCAAAAACGTCATTATAATGAAAGTCAATGGGGCAAAACAGCCCTCACCATAACAAAAGGGGAGTAAATCTGCATCCAGTATATTGTTGAGTTTAAAAAAAGAAATAAATGAAAAAGCCATTTTCCCAAAATATGTGTCAAAATATGATTTGTGACCAAAAATCCTTCCATTTGCTGAAACACAGAGAACGTTTTGGTCAAATTAAGACTCAAAAATCACCAACAGCACATGAGGGTTAAACTCATGTTCTGGCATTAATATATGGCAATAATATCAGGATTTATGGCAGAAAATGGCACAAATTTGTCAAGTTCTCCACAACACCTAATGTTATATCATAATATTCTGACCAAACTATACATTTTACACTAATGTACTTGTTTTACTATCATATTAGTGTCATTGTTATACTGGAACCAGTACAAAACTCACCTGAAGGTCGAAAAATTTACTGTAGCGTCTGAAAATGACCTCAGTGCTGCCATCAGACCAAGCCACTTTGATGATGTAAACCTATAATAAAAAAAGAAAGAAAGAAAAGAAGTGTTAACTTATATAACACACTACCTGACAAAATTCTTGTTGTTGATCCCAGTTGTAAAAGCAACAAATAATAACTTGACTTCTAGTTGGAAAATTGGCAGAAGATCGATTTTTCTGATGAATCATCTGTTGAACTGCATCCCAATCATCACAAATACTGCAGAAGACCTGTTGGAACCCGCATAGACCAAAGATTCTCACAGAAATCCGTCAATTTTGGTGAAGGAAAATTCTTGGTTTGGGGTTATATTCAGTATTGGGGCTTGCGAGAGATCTGTAAAGTGGATGGCAACATCAATAGCCTGAGGTATCAAGACATTTGTGCTGCCCATCACATCACAAACTACAGGAGAGGGCGAATTCCTCAGCAGGATAGCACTCCTCATACTTCAGCCTCCACATCAAAGCTCCTGAAAGCAAAGAAGGTCAAGGTGCTCCAGGATTGGCCAGCCCAGTCACCAGATATTAACATTAGTGAGCATTTCTGGGGTAAGAAGGAGGAGGCATTGAAGATGAATCCAAATCATCTTGATGAACTCTGGGAGTCCTGCAGGAACGCTTTCTTTGCCATTCCAGATGACTATTAATCAGTGATTTGAGTCATGTCAGAGATGTATGGATGCAGTCCTCCAAGCTCATGATGGAGTCAGACACAAAATTCATTCTGTCTCCACTGCAGCAGGACTTTATATTCTATACTGGACATTATTTCTGTTCAGTGATGAGACTTTTGTCCAAGCACAGTCAGACTTCACTGTCCTAATGAAATCATTCAAAATCAAAGGCATGATCATAGTTTATTTTGGTAAAATAAGTGTAATCTAGAGGCTTTTGTGTTCATATAAGCCACTTGTAATGCCAAATGATCAACTCGGAGCTATTATTTGCTATTCCTAAAATTTGGATAGGAGACAAGACTTGTCGTTGCATTACCTATCAGGTCCATGTAAAATGCTAGTCTAAAGAACTGCCATAAAACTACACAGTGAAAATATGTTTATTAAAACTAAAGTTAGTTATAGACTTTATTGAAACCCTAAAGAGTCAAATCAACTTGTGTAAAATGAATATCCAATAAATGCTTCTCTTAGTTGATAATTATCATGACAAATATCAGAAAATAATTACACACAAATTTTGCTTTCCCAAAAGCATTTTAAAGACACCTAAATTATCTCAATGCCGTTAAAACAGCAATGTGGGAAGAACTTTTCACTGGAGCCACTGTGGGATGGCCATCCTGATGTTAGCTTGTTTACAAGGAGTCTGCTTCTCCTTCTCTGTCTGTAGTAGGGGGGAGGGAGTGTTTTTGCATGAAGGAAGGCTTGTGTTCACCAGTTGCTTGCTTGAGCAATATAGCAATGCTTTATTTATTTATTTTTTAAGACTGAAATGTTAGTTTCAAATACTTCTAAAATCAAGGGTCCTGATCAGCATGTGTTTTATGCAAGCTTTTACAACACATGGACATGACCAATCATTTTTGTGGATGCAATATAGAACTCACACATAAAAAAAGCGTATTGTGCAGCATCTTTATCTCTACTGGAGGTATCGGTGTCAGTACGGTTAACTAGTAATTTACAACAAATTACTATAGTATATTTTCATGTGGGTGTCTGACAGCTGAAAATAGATCTGTAAGCAGAAATCGCAGCCTCTGTTGTTTTTAGCACTTTTTAGTTAACATCTATTATTATTTATTTTTCACATTCTGATTCCAATGCCTCATTATTAAACTGTTAAAATGACTACAATTAAATGAAATATTCTTAAGAGTAAAGTATGATGTGTTTTTAAAAGAGCGTACTTGCATTGTGATGATATTTTATATATTATAGAATTAGTAGTCTTCAAATGACAATAATATTATTTCTCATAATATATTTAGGTGCAATATATCATACAACTAAAAATAGATATCGTGTTCGGTGCATTTAGTTACAAAGTAACTAGTTACTGTTATTAAATTACTTTCCATTGAAAAAAGGATTCATTTTCATTTTTAGGCTATTTAATTAGTTAATTAGGGCCAGAAAGAATCTGCGGACATTTTCTGCTAATTCTATGCAGAAGTTTGTTAAATATCTGCAGATTTATGCATAATTATTGGGAGGATCATAACTAAAAATTTACTATATGAAAAAAAAAATAGTACCTTTTTTACTTTTATTAAATGTTTTACAATGCCAATCCAATTAGATCCATTTGTTTGGTAAACAAAGCAAGTCTCACATAAAACATATCTACTAAAAGACAGAAAATATTACTTTACAAACTGTATTGTAAATGAATCATTCATTCATTCATACATTTATTAATTTTCTTTTCGACTTAGTTTCTTTATTAATCCTGGGTTGCCACAGCGGAATGAACCGCCAACTTATCCAGAATATGTTTTACGCAGCGAATGCCAATCCAGCCACAACACTAGGAAACACCCATACACTCTTGCATTCACACACATACAACCAATTTAGCCCACTCAATTCACCTTTACTGCATGTATTTGGACTGTGGGGAAAACCGGAGCACCTGAAGGAAACCCATGTGAACACAGAGAGAACATGTAAACTCCACACAGAAATGCCAACTGACCCAGCCGGGGCTTGAACCAGCAAGCTTCTTGCTGTGAAGCAATTGTGCTAATGCCCTAAATAAATCATAGTAAAATTTCCATATTGTTCAATAATATTATTGAAATTAATTTAAAAACTGTATATGAACTTACACTTACACAAGTGAACAAACAGAATCAGCGACTGGCTAAAAATCGGTGGAAATCTGCAGAATTCTGTGAGCAGAGATTCCGCCTGAGCCTACTTATAATACACTTTCCCTAACGACTACACAAATTCAACAGTTCTGAATAAATAGTTGGCGGTTCATTCTGCAGTGGTGACCCCTGATAAATAAGGGGCTAAGCCAAAATATAATAATTAATTGATTATTACAACAGTCATTTAAATACAATTTTAAAGATGTGATTAGTAATGAATTACTTTTTAGAAGGAACAAGTTTTTTCAGGAAAAAAGCAGCACTGAAACCCTGATCACATTCAGACTCTGGCTTACTAGATCACGCTGTTCTGCGAAATGCTAGTAAGGATGCCATCAGATTGTACACGACTCGCATTATAGCAGCTGTTAGTCCTGCCAGTTCCAGGAGGAACAACATTTTGTTTTTGTGGTGTTTTGTTCTGAATGACGTAAAACCTGATTGCTTCAATATATTTTTGTATGAAACGACTGACTCATACTAACTGGAAGACAAAAACAGAACCAAAACTAAAATCAAAACATCCTCATGATGTCTAGCTTTTCTGATCATCTGGCAAAACATGACACTAACAAATCAAGGTCATGGGTTAATCACAATGGATAAAGCACCAGCTACGCAGAGCATGATGTGCCAGTTGGTGATGGGAGGAATTCCCCTGCTTCTGACATTCAGGGGCCTCATGTACAAAGACTTGTAGGGCTGTAATGATACACCAAACCCACGATTCGGTTCGTATCACGATTTTTGACCCACGATTCGGTTCGTATCACGATTTTCTTTTCGTGGGGGGTGGGGGAAAAAAAAAGATTTTTAAAACTATTTTTTATTAAATAACAATTGAAAAATCTTTATAAACTGAACATCAAAGAACAATATTAGCTATGCAAATTATTAACAATATAAATAGCCATATATAAAATAAATAAATAGCCAAACTATATCACTTCTGTTTTCTTTGTAACAAAATACTGTTGAAAAACCAAACAAAACTAAACTCCATTGTGTAGATGGTTTAAGCATGTTGAAAATTCTTTTTCAATCATGTTCTCTTACATAGAAAAAGTAAATTAAATAGCTACTAGGGATGCTCATTTCGTTAATTTTGCTAACCGACAACCGCCGCTCATTAATCGGTTATTAACGGTTAACTGGTCAGATTACTATTCATTTTATATTAAACAAATTGATGTGTCTATTTTGTGTCTAACACATTAAATATTGCAATTTAAAATACTGATTTATTTTTAAATGCTAGCATATTAATAATAACAGAACAGAACAACAGAGCATCTTCACGCATCTGCAGTGTTTAGCACAGAAGAACAGAACAAACTAAATAAAATAAATAGGACTGCCCTAAAGACTTGTGTTGAATTAATGCTAAAACATTGAGTACGGACAAAGCTGTAAATGTGTGTAAAAATCAGATGTATGAAAGACTGCGTACGCGGAATCCCACGCATATTTGTACATCCAAATTAACGTGAAATTGAGCGCAACATCCACGAGTGCAAAACTCCTCCCTGCCTCCTCCCCCTAATAAATATGGTAATGACTTCACTTTGGCAAAACCAAATGAAAAAGCAGAGGCAAAAGCAAGCAAGAAGAGAAACTTCACAGAATGTGAATTGGAGGTGCTCCTCTCGGAGGTAGACCGGAGAAATACTGTTGTTTGCAAGTTTGTCCTCCGGAATTAATAACAAAAAAAAAAAAAAAATGTGGGAGATTTTAGCTGATGTGGTTAACGCAGTGGGGTCTGAACATCGCACTGTGAGTGAATTAAAAAAAAGACATGGTTCGACGTAAAGGTGCAGGTTAAGAGGAGAACAGCGGTGCACCGACAAAGTGTAGACCGAACAGGCTGAACTAAAGGCTGATTTATACTTCTGCGTCAAACGCCGGCGTATGCTACGGCGCAGACGCATAGCCCTTTGTCTTGGCCGTCGGCGTTGCTGACGTGCACCTCTCAAAAATTGTAACTACACGTCGCAACGACGCGTAGCGCAAGCTCTGTGATTGGTCGGCTTGGTAGCGCTGACGAGTCTGGGCGGGACCAAGAGCTGCGCGAATGGCGCGAGCCCAATGTAGCGATTGTTTACAAGTGTGGAGTCCCGTGAAGGAGCTCCTGATGGAAAGTTTTGTTTTGTGTTTACCTCATAGTTAAAGTTGTTGCACGTCCGCCGGTTCC